CAGGCCTAGGTAGTGATGGGCTCATTCAACTCCGCAATTTGAAGTCTAAGTTGCTTGGCCTCAGCTTCGGCCTTCCGTCGACCTTCTACCTCCTAGGCAAGGTCAAGCGAGGGTTGTTTGAACTTAGCCTCCCAATCCGAGGCAACCATTTGAGTCGAGGAAAGCTTAGAATTCAATTTGTTATTGGCACCTTGCTATTGTGCCAAATTCTTCTCAACCTCCACTATCTTAGCTTCAGCCTTTGCTCAAGCAGTCTCGCTCGCATTGAGCTTATCAAGGAACTCCCATTCCTTGACCCCAAAGGTAGCCATTTCCCCATTAAGTCGGTCGAGCTCAGCTTGCTTGGCTTCCTTCTCTTTCTTTACAACCTCGGCCCTAGCTAAAGCGTCCTCTTTCACCTTCTTCGCCAGTTGCCATCCTTTGTGAGTGCCTTCCAAGGTGACATAGCACTCATCATTGAGAAATCTGCTCGTCATGGCAGCCTAAAAAAAAGATAAGATGGAAAGTCAGCAAGAAGCGAGGATAGCATGCAAATAAAAAAGGAAAGCAGACTATCGTTACCTTTGCTGCATAACTGCACACCAAGGCCAAGATATCGGTAGGAGTGACATCTCTAATAGTTGCAAATGTTCGTAAGGTGATGCCATCTCTAGCCGTTGTGGCCTCGACGCTAATATGGTCGTGGAGTTGGTCGATCAAGGCATCGATTGCAGCCTGGGTTGCTACATCCATCTTCTTGCTTTTGGGCTTGGACGAGCTATACTTACTCCCCCCAACAACGCCAGCCTCACCTATAGGAGCAAATTTCTTCTTGGCCAAATCCTTGCCTGTTGTTTTTTGAAGGCCACTAGCTTGCGCGGCGACCTCTTTGCCCGAGCCAACTTGCTGCTCGACCACTTTCTGCTTTCCCTAACCCGCTTGAGGCTCGGACAATTTCTTCTTGCCTGAGCCATGGTGCTACTCGGGCCCGTTCTGTTTTCCTGAGCCACCAGCTAACTCGAGCATTTTCTTTGCCGTCCCCTTTTGGGGCTTGGAGACACTCTTCCCGCCAACTGTTTTTGAGGTACTCATAGGATTCTTCGGGCTTGGGCCTTCCCCAAGCTTGCTCCCGCTGTATTTCATGCTAGCAACATCAGCGTGCTGCTTTGTCACCAAAACAACCAATGTCTTCTTAGCGGCCGTCAAGGCTGCCGCCTTCTTCTTAAGGCCTTTTGGTTTTTTGGCCCATATTTTTTGCAAAAAAGAAGCAAACAGTGAACAACCTATCCGCACAGGAAAAAGAGTGTGAGTAAACAATAACTAGAACCTTTTTTGAAAAAGGTAGGAAACTTGGAATCATCCCAACAGAAGTCGTATGCTTTCAAGTCTTACTGGCTTCCGAAGCGAAGGCCCCGATCTTTTAGGCTTCGTAGAAGAAAAATTATGAGTCCCAATGCGGGACCTTCTTCGAGACATCGACTAGCCCGTTAAAATGTATCTTCCTCGCCTTGGAAAGGTAGTACATCTGGTCTTGACCTTTCTTGAGCCTATATAGATGGACGAGCTCCTCGATGGATGGCTCGCCCAATTCAGCGATCATATACGCTATGTACAAAGCAATGATAATTACATACGAATTTGCGGACAGTTGGAGAGGAACGATGTCGAACCGCCTCAGTATGCTGTCAATAAAACAATGAGGAGGAATGGATACCCCGCATCTCAGGATGGTCTCAGAGATCGCCACCCACCCAGGTGGGTGATTATTTCGAGAAGAATCCCCCGGAACCATCAAATTAAGTTACAGTGCATAGACCGCTCTTATGTGCTCCAGATCCCCGATGGTAATCAAGGACTATGGTTTTCTTCGCAACCTATGGACTGGAGACTGCTTGGATTGAGCCAATTGTATTGAGGAACGGTCGGAAGAGCCCGTTGCGTTGAGTGTTAGGAAACGGTCCATATACGCAGCAGAAAAACAAAATCATAATAACAAGGATCGTTCCCATTGAGCCAAGATCAAAGGTACAATTTTACAGTTTATGTTAAAATAGAAATCTGTAGAAATTAATCATGAGTTTAGAAAAACATACGCACGTTTGGAGGCTCCTCCAAATTTGTCAATGAACGTTTTTCTTTTGCTACCGACCCAATTGTAGGATCGAATTTATGAAGTCCACACGAAGACAATCACAAAGAACTAAGGAGGGATTTGCTAGATCCTCCTTAGCTTTAAGATCAAAGAAGAAAAAATCAAATGAATTGATTTTGGGCAAAATGAATTCTACCGTGGGAGAGTAATTGGGGCTGTTGTGTTTTTCCTTTTCAAAGAGAAAATCAACTAATGAAAAATCACTCCCATTTTACAAATAACAATTTTCTTTTATAGTAATTTTAATGCCCTATTCCCATATGGAATAGGCTTGGGCTCCAACCCAAACACCCCATGTTACCAAACACTCCCAATTAGATATTTTAGTTTTTTTTCATCATTATTTCAATTAACATCAATTAATATATATTTAATCTATATATTAACATTCAACAATAATGATGATTTAATTAAATATATGCGAGCACATATTTAAACGTAATTTCACTTATTTAATTTTTCTAATAAATTAAATAAAGGCTACGACCTCAGCAAATTTAATTACACTGTAAAATTACCAAAATACCCTTTCGCCTTAAAAAGACGAAAATGCCCTTCTTTCTTCCTAAGTCTTAAATTATCTTCTATGTGTGTGACCCATAGGTTCCTCATCATACCGGCAGTATATATTATCGCGATTAAGACCAATTAATCGTCTCACTAATACAGAAACCAAGATTGGCCCCTAGCAAGGCATCATGGCCACCGATAGATTCGAATTCAGCAAAGTAGCTACCTGTCAACGATATGATTACCGTACAATTCGATCCTTTCATCATACGTTATCTCAACGAGATGAATGCATGGAAATAGTGTCAACTTTCGGTTACTCTCGATATTATGTATTCAGTTTCTGGACCAATGACCTGTATTATAAACTGGATAGAGTAACACTCAATCCCACCGTGGCCATAGTTTTAGTGTCATTGTCATATACTGAATTGCGCCGTGAGATAAATTCTCCTGTACACGGGAGTGATGGATCCTCTATTAATTCATCATAGTCTTGATACACTCCTTGATGCAGTCAATCACCACTGTATTGACAGCTCTGAATAGAACTGCGTTAGGCTAGTGTCACATTGCACCAATCAGTGCACAAGGCGCTCCGGTGATCTTAAGTCTAAGGATCACATGTACCACCATTCGTTAGAGGATTTGTTCCATAGACACTGGGGTTACCATCCATATGGAATCCTCTGGTGGGTCAGTCCAGTGAACTTGCTGCGATGTATCCGCCTATAATAAGTACCCATGTGTTGCACCAGGTTGTCACCAAACAACCTTGACAAGTGAGATCAGTCATTGCCTTTCGACAGGGTTGTTCAACACTACGATAGCCTTACCGTATTATCTGCGCCCTTACTTCAGAATAATAATGGGGCTATGGATGTTTCTAGAATGGCCACCATATGTGCTCATAGGGTTCTCACTATCAAGATTTGAAACACTTGATACCCTCGTCACGGTTCTACCATTTTAAGGACATATATCAATACATATTGCAATAATAATGATTTACGCGATATAGTATAAAATGTCTTTTATTGATTAATGAACATTATTACAAAGAGTCAATTCCACAATAATTGATTGGCTCTAGGGCACCTACTCTAACAATCTCCCACTTCCACTATAGCCAATCATTCATGCGCTCAACATTGAATGACCCAAGTGCCTTCACTATAGTCAGTCATTTATGCACTCAACATTGAATGATCCAAGTGCCCATCATACTTCTGCTACAACATAAACTTTAATAGTGGGTTAGTAGGTATTCTACAAATCTGCACGTTCCCTTTCTTATCGATCCTTCAGATCAGATTGAATCAACTGAGTAAGTGTTTGGATTACTGGTGAGACTGTGATTCCTCAGCCACAACAATGGCTCCATTGTTATCGTAGTACAACTATACTGGATTAGCAATGCTTGCAATCACGTCAAGTTCAATAATGAACTTCTTGATCCAAACTGCCTACACGGCAGCATTAAAAATGCGATACACTTAGCATCAATTGTAGAATTCACTACAGTACATAATTCGAGCTATATAAAATCCTCTGGTGGGTTAATTCAATGAACTTGCATACAACAAACACTCATGTGTTGCACTAGGTTGCTACCAAACAACCTTGACAAGTGAGATCAGTTACTATCTTTCGATAGGGTTGTTCAACACTATGATAATCTCACTGTATTATATGTGTCGTTAGTCAGAATAATACCAAGGCTACGGACGTTTCTAGAATGACCACCATATGTGATTATAAGGTATTCACTATCGAGATTTGAAACACTCGATACCCTCATCATGGTTCTACCATCCTAAGGATATATATCAAGACATACAATTATGAATTACATATAATATAAAAGAAAAACACATTTTTATTAATATAAGCATGATTTACAATGAGAAAATATAATGTTCCCCTTTTAAATTAACATAACCCTGACGGAATCAGTACAAGGGCTGATAAGTGATGAATTTTCTAAAATTGAGAAAAGAGTTTGATTAAAATTGGAAAGATACCCATCGGAGTGACAATTTCGAACAGAGGTGGTGGTAAGTGAATTTCTTGATTTTGTACATAAAGTGAACGGGTTGCATATACATGTACTGATATTTACAAAGCCTGTTTTGCAATTAAAGTTAACAATTAAATAATTGCTGTTCGTTGACACTTCCGAAATCAAAACATTTCTTTCTAAGAGTTTCCCTCAAGTATCAAGCTTAAATGATTAATCATCACAAATTTTTTTTGTGAGTTCTGAATTTCCCATTTTTATTTAAGAATGAAGTCAAAATTTTACATTGTTCCAACAAAAATTAATTACGCTTGCATTAGTATTGAAAACGAAGTTAAATAAGTCAAGAAAAAAATTTCATTGAAGGTGAACTATATCACCTCTGATATCTGGTTAACAGATACACTTGTATGCAAGGAGACTTGTTCCATATATTACAATGTAACCTAAGGATCTCTGTTGCTTTCTCTTTCAAATATTTTCCACAATCTGCTTGAGTCACCATGCAAAGTTTTGTCACAGCCCCAACCTTCAACATCTCTAAAAGAACTTCTTTTCTTGCAGAAAATTTACAAATAGAGGTCAGTATATGGACCCCTCGATCATCCGTAGCTGGAGAAACTCTAAGGATTCTTTTAGACACAATAGCTATGGCTCCCGCATGCCTTAGAAACTGAAATCTCCCATCAACACATGAACATAGTTGTGCCAAAAGATTAAAGATGAGCTCCGTTATGTTCTTTTCAGGCTTTCCTAGTTCAAGTTCAATGAGTTCGAAAACTGCGTTTGCTTCAATAATTTTCATTCTGTTTCTCCCCCGTGGACATACTTCTATCAAAATATTCAAGGCTGATTTGGCAGCATGTTGGAACATATTCTCTCGCAATAAACTCACCATTTTCTGAAAGAACTCAAGGTTTAAATTCTCCGAGAGGGTTGTAGTTGCAACTTCTAAAACTATTTTCAAGACTAACATTGCATTTGTCTTCAAAGCAGCATGATTATCACTCTCCAATTGCAAGACCCATGTTAACGAGTCGATGAATTCGTTGTTTTTACTCACAATAACCCTGTTTTCATTTGATGGAATCCAAACAAGACAAAGAATCTTCAAAGCTTCTTCAAGACCAGCTGTTTTCCGATCATTGTAACATCTTAAAATCAAACAAACCAAACCTTTAACCACAGCTGGAATTTCCATGCTTTTCCGGTTCCTTTCACTCTCTGTTGCTAAGGCTTCCATTTTCTTCAAAGTACTTAAACACAAATGAACAACTTGAAGATCACGAACAAGTTGAAGAAGATAACCCTTGCTTGGAGGAGATTTTGGCGTAGTAATTCTTTCAACACCGTTTGCTGCATTTTGTGTGCACCATGCTTGGATCAGGCGGCGTAAGGTGTGATTTGAAGTCAATCCAGAGTCTCCTAGCAAAGGCTGCTTCGTTACAGGGCATGTTGTTTCCTTGCCTGTCTTCAACCATTGCTCAATGCTTTCACGATCATATGAAATTCCTGTTATAGTTGTTACAGGATCTTTCATAATTTGCAGAGATATGGGACAGATGAAAAATTGAGGTACTTCAATTTGATCCATTTTTATGGATGAATATTCAGAATTGGTGAAGAGCTGCAGAGGAAGAAGATAAATTTATATTATTGTTTTTTCTGAGTTGTTGTTCTAAGAGAAAGTGGCTTATTTATGACAAGGTTTGAAGGTGATAAAATATAGACATCTAGAATGGGAGGAAAATTCCGCATGAATTCAATTTGTTTCTCATTCTGTTTTGGTGGTGTTCTACTTTTTACCAGTCAAAGTTTCTCTTCTGGCCTTCTGGGGGTCAACAAAGAACAATGTAATCACATTTATATTATTTGATTTTCTTCTTGATTACCGTTGACTGCCATTTGTCACGAGTTAAGTGGTCAATCTATGTTGGCCCCACTACAAAGATCGGGGTGGGTTGAAACGTGTCTAAGAATTGTGGATTCTTCCCTGAATTTTGCGATGTAAAATAAAACATTAGACTTATAGGCATAGAATAATATGTATCTTTATTTTTTGCCCAAAATAATATGTCAGTTAATTGAATATGGTCTTATCATTTATAACATGATATTCAGTTAATTTTAATATAGTTGTATCATTTATTAAATTCGGAAATAATTTATATAGACTATAGTATTATTTCCCTTCAATTTTCAAGTGATATATTGTTTAAGATGAAAAATCAAGATATAATTTTGAACGGATACTAATAATTGTTTTAAGTATTATTACTTTAGAAATACTATTGAATCAATAAATATCATAATTTATAAGTTAATATATTATGCAATAAGTCATCTTTCATATATACTTGATGTTCAATATTATAAGTACGACTTTTACTGAAAGGAATCTTTGAGATAAAGTTGACAAATGAACAGACAAACACTTCCAAAACATGTTGTAAATTCAAAAACTGTATAAGTTTGTGGGCGGTTGATCAAATACTTCGGATTTGCAGTGCGGGTTTAGCCAAAGAATGAAAGCATTGACGTCAAATTTTCTTTTTTATTTTTCAGGGTTTGGTTGACCAACTGTTAACTAGCTATATGTATATATGCATGCATTTGCCAAAATAGGAAGGCCTGGTTGGTACACTTTTTTGAATAAGATTTATTAAATCATATTTTGAATACGATAGGATAGGATTTCGAATAGGATATGATGGATTCTAAATGGTGGTTATTAGTCGTCGGAATGGCGCACGACGAGTTGGATCTGATCGATCGTGTATCGATTTTGTATTTTTTATCCAGATTCACCATATATCCAGTCGTGGATTTGACCGTTTCTGGTTGAAAATGTTTTGAGTTAAATAAAATATATTGGATTTTGAATTGAATAGTAATATTAAAACAAACACGTTTTTCATTGTTTAGTATCTGATAGTAGAATAGAATAAAGATTAAAAAGGAGTAAATGACTTTTTCGCACCTAAAATATGGTTTAATGACACTTTCCGACCCTTGGACTTTTACAAATATCAGTTTACTACCCAAAGCATATTTGTAATTAACATTGTGAGAAAGGGCAAGATGGTAAAAAAACATTTACAAGTGTAGGCAGAACCGTGACAAAAATATCCTTTACAATTTAAATTAAAAGTTAATTTTGATCTTTCAATTTTTAATAAAAAACATAATTTATGGGTTGTTGATAATATGGGTACTGTGTCAAGGTCAGGTCTTTTTGTAGCTTCGGGGGCGGTGAGCTTTTCAGGTCAGAAGAAGGCGGTGATTTGATGAGTTATTCTGGAGATCGGAGTTCTATTTCAGTTGCAAGGAGTTTTGGGGTCAACGCTGGTCTACTCTTTGATCCAGAGAGAAGTAATGGCTTCAGTGAAGCTGAGCCAAAAAAAAAGTGGATTTGATAGAAAGGAGAGATAGTTCAGAAAGAGGAGGAGGAGAAAAAGAGAGAAGGAGAAGAAAGAAGAAAGGCGAAGAAGAAGAAAATAGATTTGTGGATTTGTTTGATTAATGGAGGTTTTCTGAAGATGCGAGAGACGGTGATATAATGGGTTATAATGATAACTAAATTTTTAATTCAAATAGTTAAAAAGATATTTTTATCTTTAAGATAAATACCACCTTTTTTATGAGAAACTATTTAAGGAATCTAATTTTGGGTGAAAAAATAGTATTTTAAAAGGGAAATGCTATTTGTACAAACTCTTTGTAATGCTATTTGTATAAATTCTTTGTACTTTGTACAAACTTACGTGGCACACTACAAAGCATGTCGTGTGGTCAGGGGCGAATCTAGCCCCTTTTAAGGTAAGCCCAAGCCTATCCTCAAGTTTAAAAAAAAAAATATTAATATATAGACCCACAAAAATTGCTATTAACATATATACCCAGGTCCATCCTCAAATTTTTAAAAAATGTGAATTATTATACATATATCTAGACTTACAAAAATCTTATTATTAATATATATATTCCAAGCTCACATCATATTAAAAGTTTAAAACTCTCTCCACTCTTCTTCCAGCTCCACTTGCTTTTTATGATTTTATCCTCAAAATTCTTTACTCTCTCATTCTCTCTTTCTCTTCCTTATGTTATTCAATCTTAAAACTTTTAAGATTAAAATTGTTGAAGTTTTCACTACTCAAGATGTCACAATTAGCTCTGTTTTCTGTTTTATTAGTTTTAGGTATGTGTATTACTCATTTTAATTTAGTTTATTTTAGGGTTGAATCATGCTTTTTTTTTTTTTCTTTTTTGGAGGTTTTTTATTCTAATTTGAGGGGAAAAGACATGAATCTTGTGAGTTTATTTTGTATTTTGTGTTTAAGAATGAACTTGTTTTCTCAAATTAAAACCTTAACTATATTTTAAAAGACATTATTCTTCACCTTTCACCCACCACTTTCTTACATTTCAAATGTCACCGTTCTGCTAGTTAAAATAAATAAAGAAATTTGAGTTACTATCTATGTTTATATCAAGATTCTTTTTTTTTTTTTTTTTATTAGTTCATATTAAAAGTCAACGCAATGTTGATTTGATTTAAGTTTTGGTTGACTTTAGCTTAGGTTAGGTGATGTAGACCTTCTAGGCAAATTACCCTAGGAACCCACGAACTCAATGGAATAGGAACAAGTTAGTTTGCTAGGAACGTATTGAGGATGATCGAATTAGAACCCTAAGGAAACTGAGCCCTTAAAACCTTAATTTTGAGACGCCACAAAGGTTGATCACTCTATTTGATAAGTCGAGATTCAAGCATTCATTCAAGAACTCAAGAAGGCAAGCAAATAGCTTTCTAAAAATAAACTTCAATTGATAATAATATGTCTCTCAAAAATAACATGGCTGCCCCTTTTTATAAGCAGCAAAACCTAAAAGAAAACCCTTACTAATTAAAAATGGGTTGGGCTTAAGTACAAGCGAATTGAGCTTAACTAAACCTTAAATAAATAAAAGACTAAAGAATGTAATGGTAATTAAAACATTAAAAAAAAAAAAAGCCCAAAATTAAAAAAACGAAAATTAAGTCCTAAATTAATCCTTACATCCAACTTGATCTTTCGAATCTATCTCTTGCATAAAAAGATAATAGATCATCCTTGGTGAAGCTTTGAAATCTTCGAATTTAGTCTTAGAGTCTTCTAGTACAACCTCTTTGTATTGCATTTCCATGATCAAGTCTTGCAAAGCCTCTTTCATCCTCTTTGTCTTTGCCCTAGTCATTGGACCGCCAATTCCTTGCAAAGGATCTTGGGAATATTTGGGAACATCAACTTGGTCAGCACCTCGATCTCTATTATTCCCCTCATTTTCGAAAGAATTCGTCCTCGAATCACCTATATCAAACAAAGATAAATCAGCAACATTAAAAGTTGCACTAACATTACCAAAGTCGCTTGGCAAATCTAGCTTGTAGGCATTATCATTGATCCGCTCCAAGACTTGAAAAGGTCCATCTCCTCTAGGTTATAATTTTGATTTCCTTTGTGCAGGAAACCTCTACTTACGCATGTGCACCCAAACCCAATCTGCAGGTTGGAAGACAACCTTCAAATGCCCCTTATTGGCTTGCTTAGCATATTGCTCATTCTTCCTTTCAATGTTGGCCCGAACTTTGGCATGTAAATCCTTCACAAAATCTGCCTTTTTCTTACCATCAAGATTAGTATGCTCATTAGTAGGCAATGGTAAAATCTCCACAGGTGTTAAAGGATTAAAGCCATAAACAATTTCAAAAGGAGAAAATGAAGAAGTAGAATGAACAGTCCTATTATATGCAAACTCAATATGTAGCAAACATTTCTCCCACTGCCTTAAGTTCTTTTGAACGATAGCACGCAACAAAGTAGTGAGTGTCCTATTAACTACTTCCGTTTGACCATCCGTTTGAGGATGTGCAACAATAGAGAATAACAATTTGGTTCCTAATTTATTCCATAAAGTGCGCCAAAAATGACTTAGGAACTTAACATCTCTATCACTAACAATTGTCTTAGGCAACCCATGCAAACGAACCACTTCTTTAAAGAACAAATCAACAATATGTGTTGCGTCGTTGGTTTTAGAACATGCAATAAAATGAGCCATTTTACTAAACCTATCAACAACAACAAATATGCTATCCTTACCACTTTGAGTCCTTGGTAATCCTAAAACAAAATCCATCAATATATCAATCCAAGGTTGATTAGGTACAGGTAAAGGGGTATACAAGCCATATGGTCTAACTTTAGATTTTGCTTGCCTACATGTCATGCACTTATCACAAACAGATTGCACATCATGCTTCATATTAGGCCAATAAAAATGCTCCCGTAATATATCTAAAGTCTTTAGAACACCAAAGTGACCCATCAAACCTCCCTCATGAGTTTCCCTAACAAGCAACTCACGAACAAAACAGATAGGCACACATAATTTATCTTTCTCAAATAGAAATCCTTCATGCCTATAAAAATCACCAAACGCACACTTATCACATGCATTCCATACTTGGCTGAAATCAGAATCATTAGCATACAAATCCTTAAGCAATTCAAAACCAAGTAATTTAGTTTGCAATGAAGTAAGTAATACGTACCTCCTAGACAATGCATCAGCCACAATGTTTTCCTTCCCATGCTTGTATTTGATTACATAAGGAAACGTTTCT